CACTTATTAACATGTCTTCATCACTCACACACACGTCTCCGTCACTGACTCAGTCATGGTAAGTTACATGTACTACAATACACATTAATACACCGTCCTTCCTATACAGTAAAATAAATACAATTTCACTTTCTCTTAAACTTACCTTTCAAAATTTCTTACATTGTCTTCAATCTTTATGTCTTGCTTTACCTTTGTTTCACTTTAGGTCCTTCAACAGAGATCATTTCACTGAAGTGGAAAAGATAAAAATAACACTTACACACATTAATGTTTATTTATAACAAATATTAATTTTATGTAAGATTCTACAAGCTTACTACTGTCTTTAAACTTTCTACAGAGTGTCTAGAGTCTGACAGAGTTGCTACACTGTAAAAAAAGAAGTGTACACATCACACAAAATATAGTGTACTACTCTTGTTTCAATACAGACACTTCATTAGGTGCATCATGAACACCAAAGCATAGTGTACCAAATTCAGTGTCCCTCATTCACTGCTTTGAGTGTGTTCAGCTATTAGTTGAGTAAAAAACTTCTTGAAAAAAAAACAATAAGTACAAACAGTTGTTAGTAACAAAAGTAGTTAAAAGTTAGAAAGAAATATTGTTCAGTGCTCCAATAAAGTGCTGCACAATATAAGGCACATTACATGAAACTGAGAAAAATTAGCTTCAGAGAAAGCAACAAGCGTAACAGGGTAAAAAATATTCCTATAATTGATTTCACCACCTTGCAAGTACAACATGGTCATTATTAAGACTTATAGAGGCTCTCTCTCTACGTTATAATGCTTCAAGAGAATTCTTTACACAGTATCTCCATGCTCTCTTGCTGTTAGAAAGCTGTTAACTTTGTCCCATGTGTAAGCCACCATTTTGTTTGCTGTTGCCCCACCCACTCAAGTAAAAAAGCGTGGGCGGGTGGTTGCTAAGGCTTGTTATTTCTCTAATACAATGTGTATAGAAGAAATGTAAGTGTGGACATACAAATAAATAAATAAGTGTATATAGATAGTGCGACGGTGAAATCAATTATAGGAACGACCTGGGGGCTATGCCCCCGGGTCATTAAAAACATTGTGACAACCTTTAATATTGCAAATGTTGAACACAAAGTAAGCTGTAACAATGTACAGTGGTATAGTTTCAAGAGAAATTTCCCCCTTCAAGTGACAGTTGCCACTATTATGAAGTCTCTAAATAGGCACATACTATTTCATTTTCCAGAAGTTGAACAGCAAAAGGATGGTTCCAGTTGTGGCTTATTTGCTTTAGCGTTTGCTTTTGACGTTTGTGATAGAAAAGATCCATCTTTGAGGGAATATTTCCCTGATAATTTTTGTCGTCATTTTCACACATGTTTGATACAACAAGAAATTACATCTTTTCCTTCCAGTAAGATCACAATGGCTGTAAAACCACCATCAATAATTCGTCATGTAAAAATATACAGCTGCCTTCCAGACTCAGGTGATGATATGGTTAAATGCTCAAAATGTTCTGACTGGTATCACTTCACTTGCGTTGGAATAGCATTGAACAGTAAAGTTCCTGGCATTTGGAATTGTTTGAATTGTACTTCATGATTATGTTGTTGTTCTTTTCAGTGCAAAAACAATGAATTTGTACTCATTATTGCTATTATACTGCTGCATAATTTTTGTAGTTGTAAATTTTACACTTCATGGTTGCATGTGCAGGCATGGAGCCTGTTAGGTTGTATTGAATGGACTTCTTCTGGACTATCACCTTAGAACTGCGGAGTCTAGTGGGCCAGGGCTGTACAATGCATAGATCTATGTCAGACCATTCCCAGTCCATGTATACTGAATACACAAAAATGATTTGGCCAGCACTTCAGTACAGGCGGTGGCAATAGATTTCCTGTAGCTCAAATTGCCACTTGTCGGTGTCTATAGATATTTTGTGATGGCCAGCGCCACAATATTGCGGTGGTAATAGCCATTTCGTAGTAATAATGTATACCAACTCCCATTGTTCAAAAAAGTATTCACTGAGATATTGAGCTTTTGAATATGCCTTTTTGCTTCCTGCCATATTACTTCCTGTCGGTGGGTGTGGCTAAACATGACATCACAGAAGGCAGAGATGCAGCTAAATCAATTGCTTTATAGGGGAAAATGATTCTTTATTATTATGCCTAGTAATGTAATAGCACTAATTTAAAGATTGGGATCATTAGTTATCATTATTCTAAACATGCAACTACAAGAAAGACTCATAATACCTCACTGTGGTGAATCTTGTTTGCTATTTTGACTCTTTTTTGTTGCATGCTAATGATAGTTAATGATCCCAATCTTTAAATTACAGCTATTACATTACTAGGCATGATAATGAAGGACCATTGCCCCCTATGCAGCAATGAATTTAGCTGCATCTGTGCTTTCTATGATGTCACACTTAGCCACACCCACCGACAATAAGTAATATGGCAAGAAGCAAAAAGGGCATTTTTGAAAGCACATATCTCAGTGAATAAATTTTTTCAATAAATGGGAGTTGGTGTACATTATTACGATGGTCAAGCCAACAGATTAAGCCAATAAAATAAATACCTTGAAAAATGGTGACAGTTACACTTTAATGTAGATCAAAAATGAATTTTTTAATAAAATAAAGAGTCATGTTATGAGCCAAAAATAATGTGAAGACTTATCAGAGAATCATGTCTTCAAGACTACATATATTAGATAATATAAAACTGATAAGAATGTTTATTAGTAGTGTAACTGGAACTGGTAAATCTTTTCCAGTAGAGGCAATGAAATGCCTAGTTGATGACATGGCATCTTAAAAGTGGTGAAATTATTGCAGACAATAGTAGCACGAACAGGTGCATTTAATGTAGGCGGACTAACAAAATATACCGTATTTCCTTAAATAAAAGTCCGGGCATCTATTTCCTAATATGGTATTTTGATCTCAAAAAAAAATATATAAAAAATTTGGCCCAGAGTGGGATTCGAACCCGTAACCTAATGCTTTTGACTTTCAAAACTTCAGGCATTATCCACTAGACTACTGAGTTACTCCTGGGCTACTGTTGCGTCTTTTTAGTTCAATTCCATTGCTACCCAGGCTTTTATTCGAATGCGGCTTCTATTTCAGGATATATGGTACAATATTTCAGCTTCTAATAGAGCATGACAGAAAAATGGCAGGCTGATAAATGAACCTCAGAAAAGGATTAATATGACACTAAAAATTATAAAAGGTATTGTAGGAAACAAGGTATCTATGGCATCAAATCAAAAGATAGCATAATGACTGATGCGCTGAGAAGATATATTTAGATCTGTTCAATGGTTTAGATACAAAAAATGTTATTTGTTAGTAACCTCTTACAATTGCCACATGGTTTACCAAAATTTAATAAAATTAGCAATAAACTATTAAAAAATAGACTTACAGCAACAAATGCTGTTTGCATTTTGAAAGTAGGAATAGAATAATATTATGATAAAGTAACAATAAATGAGCGACAAAAGGGAAATGAAAGTTTATGTAAAATGCTTAATTCTGTTAGACATGGCTGTCTGACTTATGAAACTATTACATACGCTAAAAGTTACGTCTTTAATGTTTTGATACAAAAAAATTAAACAAATTGGAAAGTAAAGGAACAAATCCTTGAATTGCCCTATTATTTAAGGCAGACATGTGCTAAAAAATGATTAATGAATGTTAGAAAGTCAAGAAACTGAGAAAATAGATTTAGCTTTTGTTGAAAAAAAGGTTACTTGTCTTTAGTAGGATGTAGAGTAATAGTAGGTGTAATATTAATGTAACCGTAGAAGTAGTTCATGGTCCCATTGCTTCAGTAATGGTTATTTATGCCAAACGTATATCAATTAAATTGAATCGTAGTGATATACCTAGTGACATTGAAAGGGTTACATCTCTGTTTATGCTATCTACAAATTTGTACATACGCTGGAACAAGTTCCCTTGTTCTTTCGTATGCTATTACTATACATAAGTATCAGGGCCACTCAGTAGATACAGCCATTATAGATTGATTGACCGATATTTTTGGCGATAGTTTGGCATAATTGCATCGTCTTGTGTACGTACATTAACTATATTACATTTGTTATCATTATTTGATTCTCTCTGCTAAAGTTAGTAACCTGTGCATCAATAAAATTAATTGGCTCAGAAATAAATTTTAATGCAACTTGCCGCCAATCAAGAAAAGTAAAGGAAAGAAGAAAAAGATTCTAGTAATTGGTGTAATGTAAAATATGATGATAGTTGTACTAGTCTGATTTTATCCTTAAAACTCTTAAACATTCAATGTATATTAAAGGACAAAACCAAATGTTTTGAAAAAATGACGATAGTAGTAGTAGTTTGATTGTACCTTTAAAACTTTCAAGCATTAAGTTACAATTGGCTGTAAGTTTAATATTTTCTTTCTTGATATGACTTTATAGGAAATAAAATGTTATACAATTTGTGCCTTTTAAAATTTTAATCATGCACTGTTTATCAATTATAGATCACTGACCTTAAAGTATTTTCAAAAATACGCTGGCATAAGTTTTAATTTTTCACGAACTAGTTTGTTGTAGTTACTTAGCCAGTTCATCTCCCTTTTTTAAAGTAGATTTTGATGCAATTGACGCTGATGATCTGGCATACAGCAGCATATGTGAGACAAGTTCTGAAAAGAATGCAATTTAATTTTTTCAAATGCCATTTTATAATTATTGTCATGGCCAGACACCTCTGTATATCATAAATATTGAGAGAAATTGTGATTGAAAGTTGTGGTTAGTTTATGACGTAAAAATCAGACATTGCACGTGTATACATGATACTCGTGTATATACACGAGAAAGTGCTGAAAAAGTAGATAAATGTAGACATATGATTAGCCATAGCAGTACATGAAATATTGCTCTTGTATCTACTATTAGTAGTTATAAATGTTATAATCAATCAATTAACCATTAATAACTAGTAGTAAAATGGCTACTGACCATGCCGCCTCAGTCACTGTGGACTATTCTCTCTTCTTCTCCTTACCTGCTCGACCAACTAAGAACAATGAGTGTGTAGCAACGTGTAAGCTGTGTCCTAAACTATGTTCCAAGACCAAGGGAAACAATTATAAATACACTCTGACATCAAAAGGTAATTTGCTGAAACACTTACAAGCCGCTCACAACGACCGCCTAGAATCTCATAAAGAAGAGCGAAGGAAGAGCATCAGCAATGGGCAAGCTACACTTACTGGAGAGGCTCAAGACAGGAGAAGGTTTAAGTTTTATAATCAAGATCCCATCGTTACATCATTGGCTCTGAATTTATGTGGGCATGGAGGATTGCCAATTCAAATCTGTGAACAGTCATGGTTTCGACAGTTCGTCAGAGATATTGAACCTAGATTTACTCCAGTATCTAGGGTAGCTGTGAAGAGGAAGATAGATGAATTGTATAAGAGGGAAAGAGAAAATTTGATGTCAGAGATTGCTGCCATGTCTTGTAAGCCGTCAGTGACTATTGATTTTTGGACTGGGTGTGACGGACGCAGTTTTATGGCATGTACCATACACTATACAGCTGGAGGAGTTTTCAAGAATAGCATGCTATTTTTTAAGGAAGTACCTCCACCGCACACAGCTATCAATATTAGAAATCGTTTTGAAGATGAGCTTGATAGTTGTGGTATTTCAGCATTTGCAGTTGTAAGTGATAATGCTGCTAACATGAAGTCTGCCTTTACAATGGAAATAGACCCAGCTATTAACTCAGAAAATGATGATCTCTATGAGGGAAATATTGATGATTCCACCACTGATGATGAGAGTGACATTGTAACAGACATCCCGGAATTAGTTGAGTACTGGACAGAGAAACTCCCATTACACTTTGAGTCATGGATTGGATGTGCAGCACATCAGCTACAGCTCGTTGTTCATGACATGTACAAGGAACTTCTTAGCTATCGTCGAGTTCAAGTAGTATTTAACAAAGCCAAAGCTATTTGTAAGCTTTCTCATCAATCAAGTCATTTTAAATATGCTCTTGATAGAAGAATTCCCGTTGCTAATGATACTCGATGGAATTCGCATTACTGATTACATCAGCATATTTTAGCTCATTATGAGGCTATTAACAAGGCGCTAATGGGTGACAAAAAGAATCATTTAGTCATTACTACAACAGATATTGAAAATCTGTCTTGTGTAGTTAGTGTCATGTCATATTTCTCAGAGGCCACAAATATACTCCAGTGTGACCAAGAACCAACATTCAATCGCGTTATTCCAGTAATAGATTCTTTGGAAAATGCTCTAATAAGTTGTTCTCGAGCTAATGCAGCCAAGAATGCATTGTGTGAAGCTCTACTACACAGTCTACAAAATCGTTTTTCTTACTTACTCACTTCTTCTCTTCACCAAGCAGCAACAGCTCTTGATCCTAGAGTAAAACTTACTTTTACAAGTGATGCATCTCCTCCTGGAAAAGTTTTCATTTTTAGCTCCAGTGCTGTTAAAGAAAAGGTGAAAGAGCTGCTGCCTCAGTATAAAGCTGAAGAAACTGTTAGCAATATCAGTGTAGAAACTGTAGATTCTGAACCTTCACGAAAAAAGAGTCTTCTAGACTTTGGTACTGCAAGCCAGAGGCCTTCAAGTATAAATAATGATGCTGTAGAATTAGAAGCCTATTTTGCTCACCCTATATTGGATATTAAGCCTTTGAAGTTCTTGATGGATAGGCAAGATGGACCGTTACAATCATTAGCAATGCAGCTACTCACCATACCTTGCAGTTCTTCAGCTGAGCGTTTGTTTTCTAAAGCTGGGATTGTCTTAAGCCAGCGGCGTAGTCGTCTTCAAAGTACCCTCATTGAGCAATTACTTTTTTTCAAATAAACTTGTACATTTGTATTTAGTTCAGTTTTTTTGTTACTGATTAGTATCAGTTCATTTTGAGATAACTTCATAGCCAAATACAAGTAAATACATGAAAGTAAATGGTGTTGGTAAAAGTACATACAATATCAAAACACAAAAATACAAGTAGATACATGGTAGATGAATGGTGGATACATGATGCAATGTCTGTAAAAAATATAGTTGAATTCTAAACATGTCTACCACCATAATATGTACTTTTTTGTTAGATTTATAGTACCATGACCTTCAAAGTTTGGAATCGTGGTTTAAATATGCAAAATATTTAATCAAGTAAGTATGAATGTATTCCTCTTCTGATTCATTGTGGTTTTAAAATGAACAAACTGAATGAGAGTTTATACCACTTTTGCACGACTTCAAAAATTTTTTGTGAAATGAAGGAGTAAGTAATGATACAAAACGATACTCTGAAGAGAAAAAATTATAAATTGCATGATTTGTCACAAAATTCTTTACTCCACCTTTAACCATTTTAAATAGTTAGGTTAAGTTTATTGAATGTGACGGCTCCAAAAAATTTAAAAAGTTATGGCTTGTAGCAAATGTATAAGGTAAACAACTGATGCTCTGAGATCTGCAAACATGGGTCATCCCGTTGTACCTTAAATTAAAAACAAGTGAGCAGAAGGATGATATTGTCATCTTTAAGAAGGGCCTACAAATTTAGATATTGTTAGGAGAAGGCAAAGGGAATATGGATTATGTTCATTACCTAGGCAATGAAGTATTTCAAAGACAGTTGTGTGAAATTTTAAATCTAATATTTGTCCTATCATATCGCATTACTGGGTCAATTTCTCAGTAATACAATTACGTTAAGCAACTGTTTGTAGTTGGCCAAACTTTGAAGAATTGTTTGATAGTAGACATGACATAGGCATAGGCAGGGTTGGGCATATAAGGGTAACACCAGACCTGATGCTTTGGGCTGACCTGTGAGAAAGGGCAGTGACGGTAGAAGCTTAGGCAAGGTAGTTGGCAAGACTGAGTGTGTGAGACAGTCAGACTATCATTTCCACAGTTGTAGTTGGTCAGTCTCAAATTTTTTCTCACCATTCAATAGTAAGAAAATACATGTCATATGTCTGTCACATTATGTAAGCCATGTTACACATGTTTCAATAATGCATTTTCTACAGTTAACGAACATGATAGCAGCACTTCATAGTTCTAAATCCAATTGTACAAATGATTATTTCGTGCTAATGGAGTGCATTTTGCATTGCAAACTATTGAAAATGTCTATAAAGCGACGGGTAGAAGATAGACTTGTACCCGAGTTAAAGTTCTCATATATTGTAAAAGTTGCTTGTACATTGACAGCTGCCAGCCCGGGCAAGCCCAGGCTACGCCTGGGTAGCTTTTAATCAAAACCACCCCCAAAAGGTGTGTTTTGTTCCTATTAGGAGTGAGAGCATCACTATAATTCATTTTTTATAACCACAACTGTTTATAAACAGTATCAGTTCATCTTCACAGTTATTTTTGTCTGGTAACTAGCTTCAAGTGACTTGTGTCATTAACTTTCAATCATTTATTTAATTGACTACACCCCCAATTGTCATGAATAATTAATGAGCCTGGGTAAATTCAAAATTATTGAGGGCCTATGTTCTTGGACACAGTTAAATGAGTTGCCAGCAAAGATTTTGCAAGTATGTGTACATATAAACATGCATGAAGCCTTTGTTTTATGCTATTTAGCAACCATATGTCAAATGCCATAAAACAGCTGGCAGATTCTAGACCTGAAGGGAGACAAGAACACTTGGCTTTCTTTGTTATTTAAATGGTTGTAGCCAACTATTAGTAACGTTGTAGAGTTACTACGTAGGATTTACTCCACTTTAAATTGGCTGGTAAAACATTTGCAGCCTTGTTATACTGGAAAAACGAGCTCCTATGCCTACCAGATTTTATACACTCTTGACCAGAAAACTCCATTGATACCACTAGTGTGGCTCAAAACCTTGTCTGACTGGAAAGTAAAAAATTCGCAAAACGGCTGTTTTGTTCAGCCACCTTTTTTCATCTTCATTATCATCATCATCAAGTCGTGTCAATCCAGTTGTCAGTCTGTATCTCAACTTTGCTAGGTGATATAAGGCTAATTCTGACACCATTCTGCTCCAATAAGGTATGCACAGGTGCCTATTCTTTATGACAATTCTCCAACAATGAAAGAAGTTGTATTGTCACTGCTGGATCAAGCCCATCTTAGCTGCATGCTGCCATTTTTTTAATTTAAGAAGCATGTGCTCCAAAATTTAGTGTGGTCGCACATGCTCAGATATGCATGCCTGGAAAAAGCAAGCAAATGAAGCTATTAATCATCTGCAACACTTAGTGGAGGTTTGCAGCTAAAAGAAGGTAATATTAATCTTGCATACTATTCTTTTTTTAGGTGTGTAATGAATTATTTTATTTCAAAAAACAAACAATAAATTAAATAATGTGATAATAATGCAATGATAATATGACTTGAAATAGGAAGAACAGGAATAGCCACAGAATTGCAGGGAAGATGGATAATGTCACTGCTCCTTTAACAAAGTTTCTTTTCAAGACTAGTTATAATAAATTTCACTTGCCATCAGTATAGTAGACATTCTTTCAGCATATCAATTCACTCCGTGTTGTCTCTTACAATGCTTTAAGACAACAACAATAATAACAATAATAATAATAATAAACTTAATGTTTGTGTAAAACCAGCAATTATCACAATGGCAACTGAAGAAATATTGTAAGTTTTATAGAAAAAATTATCACAAACCAGAATATAAATTTAAGAAAACAAGATGAAATAGGATTTGAAACGACCAAAGAAAATGCGAAATGAAAATCCTACTCTTGTGATGCAAATTCTATTGTAAATTGTCCATTCAATGTTATTATGTAAGCCATTACTGATCACCTTGCAATGTAGAGTAGAATTTGTCACGAAAGTAGGATTTTCATTTCATATTTTCATTCGTCATTCAGAATCCTACTTTAACTTTGTTTTTTTTTAAATTTTAATGTTATTGAAAATGGAATTCTTTCACATAAGTGAACCGATAAATCTACATTTCAAGCATTGCAAAATAATTGCAACGGCTATCATTTCTTTAAAGTTTGGACAAACAGCATTCCTAAAGGTAAAATCACCTGCTAATTTTTTTCTTATTTGACTTAGAAGTTAAAATTAGATATCTTGCACGTTCTGCCTTCTTGGCTTGGCAGGTTAGTTAATATTTTAACGACCTGGCGGTGAAACTCCCAGCTCGTTCCTGTCACTGATTTCACCATCGCACTCTAAATTTGTATGTCCACACTTACATTTCTTCTATATACGTTGCATGGGAGAAATAACAAGCCTTGGCAACCACCTGCCAGGGCTCAATTACGTAAGTGGTTGTGGTCACGGCAAATAAAATGGCTACCTGTTATGATCTTACACAGAGATTTTCTAAAAACTTCTCTAGAAGCATTTGCAGGTAGAGAATATCTTATTAAGTCTTAATAAGTGCCAAGGTATGCATGCAAGGTTGTGAAATCAATTATCGGAACATCTTTACACTGTTCGCTTGTTACAATAAACTTGCACTTTATATCAGCTATTAGGTTTATTGTAGACATGGGACGTACTTAAATCTTCGTTCAATGGATTTGCTGGATTATGTGAAGAATATTTCACTGAACACCCTGGGTATTATGTAATTCCTGTTAGAATATCTGGTAGTGCCGTTGAGTCTGTCGTTAGCTAGCAAAAATACATTAGTGGTGGCAACCTATCCATAGTGGTAGGAACCAGGAGGGCAAGGGGGGCTATGGCCCCCCTAATCTTTATGTCAAGGGGGCTTAGCCCCCCTACAATAAGCATGCATGTACAACTTAAATGACCCTAAGTCCCTAATTTGCACCAATTTTGTTAATGATCTAATCTAATCAGCAGCTACCCATCTTATCAAAAGCAGCTGGCATTTGCACTTATCAAGCACATGGGACATGGCAAAGACGGCATCACAACAGTCAACTTTAAGCAATTATTTTAACCTCTCAAGGCTCTCATCTAGTCAGACTGATTCCTTAGAACCATCATCTAAGATACCAAGGGTTCATGAACACAAGGAAGTTGAACATGATTTATCATCTTTGTCAGAAAATGAAGATCAAGAATCAGATTCAGTCTCAGACAATGAAATCCAAGAAGAATCAGGCAATGGTTTCCAGGAAGAATCAGAAGATGAATTTGACAAAGAAGAATCAAGTGAACTTAGTGAAGAACATCTGGGCAGTGAAATGTACTATGACAGTTTGTGCAATGAAAGTTGTTAAGCAGGTAAGAAGTAGTGAGCCATTTTGTTCTGTGAATACAAAAGACACCCGAAAGAAGCATGGAAAGCAAAATCGAATTGTTCAAAAAAGGTGGTTTAATGATTACAAGTGGCTGACATACTGCACCACTAGAAATTCATTATTTTGTCTCTGCTGTTGCAGTAAAAATATAGTGGAGGATTTTCATTTGGCACAAAATTTAAAGATGCTTTGGTTGTGT